TCAATTTAGAAAATCCCAGATACTAATAGCCATGTATAGTCCTAAGGTAATTATATTAGTTAGCTAGCTATGGGAAGATTACAGAGGAATTACGTGGTATGTAGTTTGACACAAAGCATAGTAGGGATATGAAATATAATAAAAATAGTACTGAACCTCATTGACATGAAGATAAATAAGGCCAACCGTAACTGACTTAAGCTGTACCACTGTGCACGGAATTTCGGGTAGCCGTTTTGTTCGCGAATATATTCGGGCTATACTTTTGCCATCCTGCTTGAGTAACAGAGTCACTCAACTGCAATCCCACTTCAGCTCTCACTCCTCTTGTTTCCTCTTGAGCCAGAGTGGCCAAATCTTTGTGTAATGGCGAACCGACTTTAAAACAATAAAGCGCTATATTACTTACTACGCTAGAGTAACGCAAAATAAATGTATAAAATTCATATAAAATATAAACTTCTACAAATGAGTGAGATATATATTAATAAAATATGCCTAAAAGGATAAACAGTCTCTACTAAAACTCACCAGCATCTAAGCCTGTCATAAGAGCAAAGAAGGCCTCAATGTTGTTTAACTTCTGGCAGCAGTGCGCCAATCGTACAAAGAACTTGACTCTGAGGGCTTGGCTTCCAACGGTCAATTTGTCGGTTGCCTCGCCTCTCTGCGAAACCGAGGCTGTGTCCAAGCCAAGTTCTCGGTCATTAGGCGTATCCCTGTTGGCACCAGCAACTTCCGCCAACTGTATTTTCGTTCGGGATGGCTGTAGTGCTTCGGCAAGCCAACTGCTCAACGAAGGGTCTGAGCACAAAGCCATTGGACCCGTCTCGGCTGGTGCTAACACCTCACGCGCCACCCAGAGCCTACAGGCATCAGAGAATCGAAAGAGACGTGCGATGGCGGCCAGACTCTTTGAATGCTGTTTATCAAGACTATAGGATTTGGAGGATGAAAAGAGCTGTATAGCAGAGATCGTGGCTGTATAAGCAAACAAATAATAGATTTATTTTATTTTAATCATGCATCTATGTTACCAAAAAACAAGAAAATATCCACTTTAGATATATCCGATGAATGGACAGGATTAAAAGCTATCTGGTGGGAAAAGTTGACAAAGTTTAAGTCAATAAAAAGTATTTAATATTTAATTTCATACCAAG